TGAGGCGCATTTCAGCGCCTTACCCTTCGTATCATATCAAATGTGGTCGCTGAGGTGTGTAGGCAGCCCTCATTAACGCCGCCGTTGGATGCGGTTGGCAAGGCGACGTCGTTTGTCGCTCATCAATACAGTACGAACAAGAAAAGGTGTTAGAATGATTACGCTTATTTGATTATGTTAGAAAAATTTGTGGGATAAGTAAGTGGAATCTGGATTACTCAAATAGTAGAGGTTTAAGTTAGTTGTGTTGCAAAATCTCGAACGAAAATGATGGTGATGACGTTGAGGTGATGCATCGGTAAGAAATAGCAATTACCTGTTGCCTTGGATTCTCGTTTCTCGAAGAGGAGACGTCGATGCGCATGGCGCAACCGATGTTTTTTTGATTTGAGCAGGCCCTAAAATGATAGATTGATCGTCGCGGGTATCACCACTACACTTGGAACGACATCGACTTTGGTAAAGTGCGAAACTCGTCGAGAAGAAGAGATGTGATAGCAATCGCACGAGCACATTTATTCGGTAAAGCGAAATGATCGCAGCCGGCGGCATGAGCACCAGCAGACAGATGGAGAAAACACGAAGTGGATCGTCGTGCGTCCAAGCGACCTACACATAATGACGATAGTTGTCGAAAGTCATAGACGGGAATAGTGCCTCTTACTGAGGTTTCTGTAGCCGTCTAGCAGTGCCCGTTCTCACCCCCTCTGGGCTGTACGCGCTCTCCACAACTGATTATACGTTGCTGGGCGTTCTCGTCTCGTCTTTCTCGCCCTGCGTATCCAGCACCTGCTGTTCAGACCGCCTCCTCTCTCCTGGGCCGGTGGCGCTGCTGCTGTTGCTCGTGCCTACGAAGGAACAGACAGCCCCGTTTCGACAATCTAACCGTAACTACTGCTCGGGTTTTTCCCGATGCGGTTATCACATCTCGCGAACAGCTGTTTCATCCACTTGTTGGTGCCTATTTTAGGCTGTGCTTTTCGGTTTTCGGCGCGCTTTCATCTCCGAGTGATGCTGCAATTCGCGTGTGGGTGTTCTCACGGTCGCTTATGCGTCTGTGTCGGGTCGTATTATGTAGTGCTCAAATTGGACATAAAATCTCGTTCTTACATTCACATACGTCATCATGCTTACCACGCCCATTGTGTGTTTCGCTCTCGCTGTCTTCAGTGCTTCTATAGTGTGTATTTTCGTCATCGTCATCAACATCGGCAGTGATCTTTGATTTTTTGTCGTCTCTATTTCTGTACGCGAAGCTAGACGCACGTGGATCTCGTGTCGCGATGATCTCAGAGAGTACGCTGACATATTCAGGTGACATACACTACCTCCAACAAACGCAACGCTCTGGGACGGACGAAGTACACGGCGAGAATCGCTAACAGCCTAGATATCAACATTTCACTACCGAAGAGAGCCGACAGTTACGGCGGCGGCGGTGCTGGTGGCTGCTATCCGGTAGCCGCTGCTTACAGCAGCTCGCTGCCGTCGACAAGCTTCGCTACTCCGTCGCCTCAACCGGTACCGATGGGTGCACGTACAGCGATGGCCACTGCCACTTGGTATCCCCAGAATCCTCAGCAAGGCAGTGGCTATCTGGCCGCTTCGGTACCACAAGCGAGGTCGGCGACGAACGGACCTTGCGCGTCCACGTCGACGTACCCGCAACCGGGATACCCAAGCTCTTCTCCGTCACCGGGTTCTATGAAGATGTCACCGAATGCTTCTCCGTATGCGCAGTATGCGCTAAATTACTACCACCAGCAAAATATTGCTCGGGAGCGCGAACGTGAAGCTTACTATCGGTCGCGGAATATGATGATGCCCATGTTGCCGCCCCAACAACAAATGCAACAACCTCCGGACTGGAGATCTTATGGTGGGTTTTGATGGCCATTTGCTCAGATTTTGCAGTGAGATTTTATCCGTTCTTCTGCCTGCTATCTTCTTTCATAGAGCGAATTATTTATACTTGTTGCT